ATGCACAGGTGGTACAGATAAAGTGCAGAATTGGTCAAATCAGGTTCAGTGTGTCCTCTTAGCAGCTATCAGCTAGCACTTATATGCACTAATTTCTTATATGCCTGATTTGTCATATTTTCAGAGAGCATCATCGATTAAAACACTAATAAATTCATAAAATGAAGCTATTTGCTGTAAAAGAAAGTACGTGCAGATTTGATCACATCAGGTGCATTCGCCGGATAGACCGTCGTGAAAACGGCCATTAACTACTATCAAGATACATTTTTGTCGATACGTGCCTTATTCGTTACGTACATGATTAATCAGTACTTTTGCTGACGTACATGTGCAATACGTACTTTTGCGATGCATGCTTTTGTCTGCATGCAGCTAGGGGGGGGGGGGGGGTAGAGCTAGGGGGGGGGGGTAGAGCGCTGCCATACGTCGTGGTGTTCGACTGTGCTGCCATCTGATGTCGCACCACTGATAACTGTCGGCGCGGCGCCGCCGTCTCCATTTGCGTGTGTACAAACGCACGGTCGAGAGCCACTAATTCGAAATTATTTCGAGTTTGGCGATCTTTTGTGCTTACAGATACTTACCATGGTGAGGATAAACTGAAACTGCGTATACTTTGAATGTAACATAATGGACCACTCTTATCACTCGCCGTGGCCACTAGCGCTCACGCTATAGCTCTGCATCGTTACTAGTACTAATAGTTATCCCTTAACTGCATAAGTATCTAAAAGTGTTGTGCTTAAGTATCGCTTCTCGGCCTTTTGGCTAAGATCAAAGTGTAGTATCTGTTCTTATCAGCTTAATATCTGATACGTCCCCTACATGGGGACCAGAATATTAAACTGATTTTTGGACTTTGGCGGGGTTTTTGGAGCTTGCTCCAGCCCTGCCGCGGGTTGGCCTGGCATTGCACTACAGCCAGGATCGGCCCACTTTTGTTATCATGCGTTGTGATATGTGGTGAAAATAAAAGGATAAAGATACTTTTAAGATATATGACAATAAAAATTGACAAAACATGAAAATACGCCTCTTTTTGATCATGGTCATAGACAAACGCTCATACTAAATGGAATAAAAATGCGGGTATCGGCAAATTGTACCTGTGACCCCTCAATGTCCCTGAGGTCATCTCAGGTCATGAAGAAAAATGACCCAATCAATATCATTATGATTATAGACGTTTTTTTTTCTCGAATTCCACTACTACGTGCCGCCCCCGACCCGAGCCACGATAACCGCTACAATAGGCGAATTAATTCACGCATTTATTTTGTTCCCAGACAATCGACATCTTTCAAGTACACGGTGCATCGGCGTCCTAAAATGTGACTGGAAAGGCCGCTCTATCTGGTGAAACTCAGTAAAGACGGTGCATCATCATCTAACTGAGGTACCTGTAAAGCTGACATCTTTATCACTATTCATTCGGTATCAGTGATGGACAGTGGGGGGCGTGTGGGAAGTTGTGGGTGACGACAGCTTTGCCTTACGTAAAGCATCATATGCTTTTAAAACTTTTCTCTTTTTATTAGTTTTGCTATAGCGTGAGGCGTGCAATCGTATATCGAAATGAAAAAAGTAACTGGAAAAATAGCAGTATCTATCGACATTCCTTACATCTGTGCTTTGGTAAGGTCCTGACAAATGCTTTATTTATTCATATTAGCCGTTTTCACGACGGCCATCTGGTACACATTTGATGCACAGGTGGTACAGATAAAGTGCAGAATTGGTCAAATCAGGTTCAGTGTGTCCTCTTAGCAGCTATCAGCTAGCACTTATATGCACTAATTTCTTATATGCCTGATTTGTCATATTTTCAGAGAGCATCATCGATTAAAACACTAATAAATTCATAAAATGAAGCTATTTGCTGTAAAAGAAAGTACGTGCAGATTTGATCACATCAGGTGCATTCGCCGGATAGACCGTCGTGAAAACGGCCATTAACTACTATCAAGATACATTTTTGTCGATACGTGCCTTATTCGTTACGTACATGATTAATCAGTACTTTTGCTGACGTACATGTGCAATACGTACTTTTGCGATGCATGCTTTTGTCTGCATGCAGCTAGGGGGGGGGGTAGAGCTAGGGGGGGGGGGGGGGGGGGTAGAGCGCTGCCATACGTCGTGGTGTTCGACTGTGCTGCCATCTGATGTCGCACCACTGATAACTGTCGGCGCGGCGCCGCCGTCTCCATTTGCGTGTGTACAAACGCACGGTCGAGAGCCACTAATTCGAAATTATTTCGAGTTTGGCGATCTTTTGTGCTTACAGATACTTACCATGGTGAGGATAAACTGAAACTGCGTATACTTTGAATGTAACATAATGGACCACTCTTATCACTCGCCGTGGCCACTAGCGCTCACGCTATAGCTCTGCATCGTTACTAGTACTAATAGTTATCCCTTAACTGCATAAGTATCTAAAAGTGTTGTGCTTAAGTATCGCTTCTCGGCCTTTTGGCTAAGATCAAAGTGTAGTATCTGTTCTTATCAGCTTAATATCTGATACGTCCCCTACATGGGGACCAGAATATTAAACTGATTTTTGGACTTTGGCGGGGTTTTTGGAGCTTGCTCCAGCCCTGCCGCGGGTTGGCCTGGCATTGCACTACAGCCAGGATCGGCCCACTTTTGTTATCATGCGTTGTGATATGTGGTGAAAATAAAAGGATAAAGATACTTTTAAGATATATGACAATAAAAATTGACAAAACATGAAAATACGCCTCTTTTTGATCATGGTCATAGACAAACGCTCATACTAAATGGAATAAAAATGCGGGTATCGGCAAATTGTACCTGTGACCCCTCAATGTCCCTGAGGTCATCTCAGGTCATGAAGAAAAATGACCCAATCAATATCATTATGATTATAGACGTTTTTTTTTCTCGAATTCCACTACTACGTGCCGCCCCCGACCCGAGCCACGATAACCGCTACAATAGGCGAATTAATTCACGCATTTATTTTGTTCCCAGACAATCGACATCTTTCAAGTACACGGTGCATCGGCGTCCTAAAATGTGACTGGAAAGGCCGCTCTATCTGGTGAAACTCAGTAAAGACGGTGCATCATCATCTAACTGAGGTACCTGTAAAGCTGACATCTTTATCACTATTCATTCGGTATCAGTGATGGACAGTGGGGGGCGTGTGGGAAGTTGTGGGTGACGACAGCTTTGCCTTACGTAAAGCATCATATGCTTTTAAAACTTTTCTCTTTTTATTAGTTTTGCTATAGCGTGAGGCGTGCAATCGTATATCGAAATGAAAAAAGTAACTGGAAAAATAGCAGTATCTATCGACATTCCTTACATCTGTGCTTTGGTAAGGTCCTGACAAATGCTTTATTTATTCATATTAGCCGTTTTCACGACGGCCATCTGGTACACATTTGATGCACAGGTGGTACAGATAAAGTGCAGAATTGGTCAAATCAGGTTCAGTGTGTCCTCTTAGCAGCTATCAGCTAGCACTTATATGCACTAATTTCTTATATGCCTGATTTGTCATATTTTCAGAGAGCATCATCGATTAAAACACTGTAATAAATTCATAAAATGAAGCTATTTGCTGTAAAAGAAAGTACGTGCAGATTTGATCACATCAGGTGCATTCGCCGGATAGACCGTCGTGAAAACGGCCATTAACTACTATCAAGATACATTTTTGTCGATACGTGCCTTATTCGTTACGTACATGATTAATCAGTACTTTTGCTGACGTACATGTGCAATACGTACTTTTGCGATGCATGCTTTTGTCTGCATGCAGCTAGGGGGGGGGGGGTAGAGCTAGGGGGGGGGGGGGTAGAGCGCTGCCATACGTCGTGGTGTTCGACTGTGCTGCCATCTGATGTCGCACCACTGATAACTGTCGGCGCGGCGCCGCCGTCTCCATTTGCGTGTGTACAAACGCACGGTCGAGAGCCACTAATTCGAAATTATTTCGAGTTTGGCGATCTTTTGTGCTTACAGATACTTACCATGGTGAGGATAAACTGAAACTGCGTATACTTTGAATGTAACATAATGGACCACTCTTATCACTCGCCGTGGCCACTAGCGCTCACGCTATAGCTCTGCATCGTTACTAGTACTAATAGTTATCCCTTAACTGCATAAGTATCTAAAAGTGTTGTGCTTAAGTATCGCTTCTCGGCCTTTTGGCTAAGATCAAAGTGTAGTATCTGTGGGTTGTTTAACCTATTTTAACTCGCGCGAGGCGCTTTTTGACTTTGATCTTGGCCAAGGGTCGGGAATTGTATTCCCTTGTATCCCCTGTGACCTTGAGCAGTGCCGTGTTGCTGTGCCCGTCCACATGGTGTCGCCACCGTCGCCGCCTGCCGAGGAGGGGGCGCCGCTGCTGCTCTACACCAGGTGAGACCGCGCGGCGACTGCCTCCCCCCCCCCGCCCCCTAGCTTCCGGGCAACGGCCTTCAGCCGTTGACCCGTTTTCAAAGGTTTCGCGCCAAAACCCAGACCGTTGGGATTTGGCGCCAAACCTTTGAATTTGAACTCCCTTCCCGCCCTTTCTCACCTGACGCCGGCCTGTCGATGAACGTTTCTTGTTTTTGCTAAATCTGCTTTTGATCTCATTTGCTTCAATTCTACCCCTTTTCGGCCTGTTTTACGTCTAAATTACCCGTATTCCGTGCCCGTACCCATACCGTTTCTCTGCTCCGGCCTCGCCGCGTGGTTTCCCGGTGCCCGAGCCGGCGCCCCCGACTCGCAGGCTTGTGTTTGCTGTGTTGTGGTGTGAGTTGGTGTAGTGTATTGTATTGCCTCGCTGTGCTATTGTGTCTCATACCATGTCTGCGCCACCGTCCCGTGCTCCCACCGTGTCCCCTCCCCGGGCGGCGGACACCCAGCCCCGGATTGATGGTGACCGGCTTGTGCTGCCCTTTCCCCTCCCCGGGCTGCTCCTGTGCCCGGTGGAGGGATGTGGGTTTAGGTATGCCAATTGTGTCCCTTCCACCATGAGGCACAGCCTCAAACGTCACATCAAGCGCTGCCACGTTGACCTTTCCGTGGCCCAGTGGGTGTGCGGCGGCTGTGGTGCCCGGCTGCCGTACCACTTCTCCCGACACGGCTGCTTTGCGCAGCCGGCCGCTGCGGGCCCGGTGGCCATGCCCCACCGCTGCTGGTGCGGCCGGAGCTTCACGACCCGGCGCGGCCTCACCAACCATGCCCGCCTGTGCCGCCGCTCCCCCGTCCACGTGGACACGCCGTCCCTCCCGCTGACCGCTGGGACTGACCGACCGGTGGCAGGTGACGACGACCTCTCCCTGCCCCCGCTCACCCCTCCCGAGGCCCCCGTCCGCGGCTCGGCCTCTGACCCCGGCCCCGGCTCGCCTCGTTCGAACATGTCGAGCCCGCAGGCCGACCGGCGCGGCTCCGGTGGCCGGCCGGCCGCCGATGACGTCACCGACGGTGATGGAGGCTCCCCCGCGCCGTCTGACGTCTCTGACAGTGACGTCACCGTGGTGTCCCACTCGCCGTCTGTTGACCATGGCCCCGTGACGCCCCGGCCCGGCCCCGTGACGCCCCGGCCCGGCCCTGTGACGCCCCGGCCCTTCCCCGTGAGGGTCACTGTGACTGTGCCCCCCGGGTCTGTGTCGCAGTCGCCAGTCCCGTCACCGGGAGTGATGTCGGACGTGTCCGATGTGACGTCAGTCATGCCTAGTGTGTCCTCCACTGATGGGTCGGCCACCCCGACCTCTGACTCGTCTGGGTCGTCGACCCCGCTCGGCACCCCGTGTGCCCCGACGCCCCGCGCCCGCCGGTCCCTGGCGTCCCTGAGGACCAGCCCGGCCCGGCCCGACCCTCCCGGTGACCCCGTGTCGCCCCCCGCCGACCGGGACCGTCCCAGCCCCCTCCAGCGGCTCGCCCGGCGATTCATGGCGGCGATCGGCCGTGGCGGCCGGCGGCCGGCGGCCCCGGCCCGGCGGGACCCCGCCCCGCCCCGTCCAGACTCACCCCTCCTGCCCCCGTTCCCGCCCTCCCTGGAGGCCTGTCGGCGGTCGGAGAGTGGCAGTGAGCTGGACATCACCCTGGAGACCCCTCCGCGGGCCCCCTCCCCCTCTGACTGGACCCTGCTGGAGGACCTGGCCGTCTCCTCCGACTCCGAGGCGGCCGTGACGGAGGACAGCCTGCCGCTGTCGCTGCGGCTGGCCGGCACCGACTCCCCTCCCCTCCCGGTGGCCGCTGACGCTCCGTCCCCCGACAGAGCCCCGACGCCGCCGCTGGATCCGGCTCCGTCCTCCCCACTCTCCCCAGCTGACTGCCCGCCGCCCGACAGAGCCGAGACGCCGCCGCCGGACGCTGCTCCGCGCTCTGTCCCTGCTCCGGCCTCTGCCTCGTCAGCTGACGGCTCGCCGCCGACCGCCGCCGGCCGGCCTCCCCCCGCCCCCTCCCCGCCGACTGACTCGGGTAGCGGTGGGGGTGATGAGCGGAGGGGAAGGAGGCGCCGCCGGCGCCGCCGTGACCGGCGTGGACCGGTCCCGAGTGACCCGGCCCGTGACATGCCCGGCCACCCGGCCCCTGACAGTGACCCGACCCCGAGCGGCGCCAGCGATGATGAGGACGGTCCGCTCCCGACCATGGTCTTTTACAGGTCCGACGCCGTGCTGGCCCCGTCCAGTGTCCCTCCCCGCCGTGTGCGGACCCCTCCCGGCTTCCCTTCCCGGGGAGGACGGCCCCCGCCCGGGTTCCCGGCCCTGGGTGACCGCAGCGCCGCGCCGGCCACTACCGAGTCCCGCCGTGACCGCCCTGGCCCTGAGCCAGCCCGCGACGGTCGTGCCCTCACTGATGACGTGTCCCGCGACACTCCCGGTCCCCGTGCTGTGCATGCCCCGCCCTGCACAGGTGCCCGTGACGACGTTCCGCGCCGTGTCCCTGACGCGCCCGCTGCCGCTGTACGCACCTACAGTGAGGTAGTGCGGACCCCCGTCACCCACACCGTGCCGCCCGTGACCCGCCCTGTGCCACCCGTGACCCGTGTCACTCGTGTCCGTGACGGCGACCGTGATAACCGCCCTAACCGTGGTGGCGGTGGCCGTGCTCGCCGCGGTGCTGGTGGCCCGTCCCGTGACCGACCCGGCCCTTCCCGTGACCGACCCGACCCCGGCCCGTCCCGTGGTGCGCCCGGCCCGTCCCGTGGCCGTGCTGGTGGCCGTGCCGGTGGTGTGTCGGACCCGCCCCGTGACCCCGCCGGCCCCCGCCCCACCCGTGGCCGCGGTCCGCCCGGTGACCCCGCTCACCGTGACCGTCCCAGCGTCGCCCGTGACCCTGCCGTGACCCGGCCCGGCCGTGGCCGCTCCGGCGGTGAGCCTGCCGGCGCCGGCCGTGGTGCTCGTGGCAGAGGTGGCTGTGGTGGTCGCCCGCCCGCTGACCCGCCCCGCGCCGTGCCCCGTGTCCCGCCTGACCCGCCCCGCGGCTCGCCCAGTGCTGCTGCTCGTGTGACGCCCGGTGACCTGCCGCGCGCCCCGCCCGGTGACCCCGCCGGCGCTGTAGCTGGTGGGCCGCCCCGTGACCCGCCCCGTGACCCTCCCACTGACCTGCCCGCTGACCCGCCCACTGACCGTGACCCCGCCCCTGACCGACCTGCCAGCGGTGCCCTTGGTGGCGGCCGCGGTCGTGGTCGTGGCCGTGGTGCCTCTCGCGGTCGTGGCCGAGGTGGTGCCTCCCGTGGCCGGGGTGGTGCTGCTGGTGCCCCCGCTGGTGACCCCGCTGGTGACCCTGACGGTGGTGCCGGTGGCGGTGGCCGTGGTGGTGGTCGTGGCCGTGGCCGCGGCGGCCCTGGCCGTGGTCGGGGCCGTGGTGCCGGCCGTGGTGGTGGTGCTGGAGGTGCTGGTGACCCCGCCGGCGCCCCTGACCCCGCCGGCGCCCCTGACCCCGCCGGCGCCCCTGACCCCACCCAGCAGGGCCCGGAGCCGACCGAGCTGCAGCAGGAGTTTCTCCCGGTACTGACCGCCCTGCAGGAGACCCGCGCCCCGTGGGAGGAGGTGGAGCGGCAGCTCACCCGGCTGTGCGCCGAGGCGGCCCGGCGTAACGCCGACTACCACGAGCGGCGCCGGCGCCCCGCCCCCTGGCGCCCCCCTAACGAGCGGCCGCCCGCTGACCGTCCCCCCGCCGCCCCTCCCGCCGGCGAGCCCCGTCCCCCTCCAGCGGAGCAGGAGCCGGAGCCGGCCGAGGACCACCGGCGGCCCTGGCAGCCGCCGGCCTACGCGGCAGAGGAGGCCAGTCGGCTGCAAAAGTTGTACCGCGCCAACAGGGACAAGGCGGTGCGGCAGGTGCTGCGGGAGGAGACGCCCCCGTGCCCCGTGCCCGGCGAGCAGCTGGCGGCCCACTTTGCCCCTCCTCCCTGCCCCCCTGTGGAGTGGGACCGGCGGCCGCAGGAGGTCCCTGACCTGACCCCCGCCGCCCCCTCCCCGGCTCTGACCGCCCCGTTCCGAGCCGACGAGGTGTGGGGCCGTCTCCGGCGGGCGGCCAACACCGCCCCCGGCCCTGACGGGCTGCGCTACGCCGCCTGGCGCGCGCTTGACCCCGGTGCGCTGCTCCTGACCCGGGCTTTCGAGCTGTGCCGGCTGGCGCGTCGCGTCCCGCCCACCTGGCTGGAGTCGGAGACGGTGCTGCTGCACAAGGGAGGTGACCCGACCCGGCCCGACAGCTGGCGGCCGATCGCCCTCGGCGCCACTGTCGCCAAGCTGTACGCCGGTGTGTGGGCCGACCGTCTGTCCGGGTGGGTGGAGGCCGCTGACCTCCTCTCCACAGGCCAGAAGGGTTTCCGGCCATTCGACGGCGTGCTGGAGCACAACTTTGTGCTCCAGAGCGCCATCAACAGCGCCCGGGAGGACGGGACGGAGGCCCACGTGGCCTTTATCGACCTGGCCAACGCGTTTGGCTCGGTCCCCCACAGCCTCCTTTGGCAGGTGCTGCAGCGGGTCGGTGTGCCGGAGGAGGTCGTGGCGGTGGTACAGGGCCTGTACGAGGGCAGCGCCACCCGGTACCGGGCCGGGGACGGCCTGACTGCGCCGGTGGCGTGCCAGCGCGGCGTGCGGCAGGGGTGCCCCCTCAGCGGTATCCTCTTTTCCCTCGCCCTGGAGCCGCTGCTGCGGGCCCTCGCCGCCGCGCAGGTGCGCTGCCTGGCCTACGCTGACGACCTGGCTCTGATTTTCAGCCGACGCAGCGAGGTGCAGGACGGCCTGGCGCTGCTGGAGCGCGTGTGCGCCTGGGCGGGGCTGACCCCCAATCCGGGGAAGTCGGCCCTGCTCTCCGTCGGCGCCCCCTCCCCGCCCGCCACCCTGTGCGGTGCCCCTCTGCCCCTCATTGACAGGGACGGGGCCTACAGGTACCTCGGCCGACCCGTCGGGCACACCCGCCTGACCCAGCCGCCCCTGCAGGTGGTGGCGGAGGCGCGCCGTGACGCCGCCCGCCTCCTGGGGTCGCCCCTGGCCCCGTGGCAGAAGCTGGACGCCGTGAGGGCGTTCATCGCCCCACGGCTGACCCACTGCCTGCGGCTGGGGGTGATCCCCAAGGGCGCCCTGGCGGCGTTTGACAGGTCCTTGCGGTGGCGTGTCAAAGGAGTTCTGAACTTGCCTGTCAACGCCACCAACAGGTACCTCTACAGCCCGACTAAGGCCGGTGGGGTCGGACTGACCCACTTTTCCCAGGAGGCGGACATCCTGCTGGCGGCGGCCACCCAGCGCCTCCTCCATTCCCAGGACCCGGCGGTGGCCGAGCTGGCGGCCGCCGAGCTGGCCGGTGCCGCCCGGCGCCGCGTCCGCCGTGACCCCACCCCGGCCGACCTGGCGGAATACCTAAACGGCGCTCCCATGCGGGACGACGGCGGCGGCGTGTCGTGCCGCTCGACCCGCACCCGTGTGGCCACCACCGCCCTCGCCCGCCGCGCTGCCGTCCGCTGGCGCGCCGCTGACCCCCCTGTCCTGCAGGTGGGGGAGGCGGACGTGGAGCCGCGGCGCGAGTCGCGCGCGCTCCGTGAGGCGGTCCGCCAGACCGAGCTCGCCGAGCTGACCCGCATGCCCCAGCAGGGCAAGGTGCTGGCCTGTGTGGCGGACCAGCCGGTGAGCTCCCATTATATGTATAATGGGAGCTTCACCCGGTTCGCTGACTGGCGATTCGTCCACAGGGCCCGGCTGGGACTCGTCCCACTCAACGCGTACTCCCGCCGAGCAGGAGCTGACCGTCGGTGCCGGCGCTGCGGGTACGTGCAGGAGACCCTCCCGCACGTCACTAACCATTGTCTGCAGGCACACGCGGGGGCGTACCAGCTGCGGCACGACGCCATCCTGGCCCGGCTGGAGCGCGCCACGCCTGTGTTTGCAGGAGATGACGTGCGGGTGAACCGTCGCGTCCCCGGCATTGACTCCGCCCTCCGCCCCGACCTGGTCGTGACCCGGGGCGACCACGTGTCACTGGTGGACGTCACCGTGGCGTTCGAAAACCGCCCCGAGGCCCTCCGCGCCGCCGCCGCTGACAAGGAGCGCAAGTACGCGCCCCTCGTACAGGAGCTGCGGCGGCGGGGCAAGACGGCCTCGGTCCACGCCCTCGTGCTGGGGTCCCTGGGGACGTGGGTGCGGGGGAACGAGAGGACGCTGCGTCAGCTGCGCGTGTCCCGCGTGTACGCCCGTCTAATGCGTAAACTCATGGTGAGTGATACGCTGCGGTGGTCACGCGACATTTATATTGAACACATTACCGGGACACGCCAGTACTGAGCGCGCTGCCCCGTCCGGTCGACCCCAGGGCTGATATGAGTGTAGTTTGTGGTGTTTTTGTTCATTGTTATGTCTATCTGTGTCTCATGTTTGTGGCCGTCAGTGTGTTTTGTGGTCACGTGTTATTGTTAAGTGTTTGTTACTGTGTCAATTGTGTGTTTGTATTTGTACGTGTATGTGTGCCCTGGGTGTCTGCCTAACAGCAGCAGTCAGTGCTGTGTAGGCAGCCGCCTCACGGTGGCTGTGCCACTCGTTGACCTGCCTGCGTGGCCCGGCCTAATCTGAGCTGACCCGCTGACTTGACCGTCCGAGACCGAGTAGCCTGCTCTGTCGTGGCCATTTGGTGACTGCCAACCTGGCCGTCGCCATCCGACTTGACCCCATCTGACCGGCCGCTCACACAGTAGCCGCTAACCTGGCCGCCCCCGCTGCCCGCGGCCCGCTGACCGGGGTGTCCGCGGCCCTCTGACCGGTGTGTCCGTGGCCCTCTGACCGAGGTGTCCGCTCCCTGGTGTCCGCCGCCCGGTGTCCGCCCCCCCCCCCTGACCCGTGTCACTGTGTGTGGTGGTGGGTGCCGGTGTGTGCCGGTGACCCCGGGCCGTGACCGGTGGCCGTGACGGCCCTGCCGGCGCGGCTGTAGCTGCCCGTCTGGCGGCCGGCCGCCTGCCGGTGGCTGGAGCCGCCTCACCTGGTGGCCGTGGCTGCCCCCGGTGGCTGGGCCGCCTCACCCGGTGGCTGTAGCTGCCCGTCTGGCGGCCGGCCGCCCCCCGGTGGCTGGAGCCGCCTCACCTGGTGGCTGTGGCTGCCCCCGGTGGCCGTGGCTGCCCCCGGTGGCTGTGGCCGCCCGCCGGTGGCTGTGGCTGCCCCGTGGTGGCTGTGGCTGCCCCCGGTGGCTGTGGCTGCCCCCGGTGGCCGTAGCCGCCCCTCGTCTGGTGGCCGCTGCCGTGGTCGCCTGCCGGTGACCTGGGGTCGCCTCCGGTGACCGCCGGGCCGCTCCTGGCGTCCGTCGGCCGCCCTGCGGCGCTCTCCGCCCGGTCACGCTGGACCGGTGACCGGGGCTCGGCGGCCGCTGCCCGTGGCCGCCGTCTGCCGCTGGTGCCGCTGGTGCCGGCCCGTCGGCGGGTGCCGCTGGTGTTGGCCCTGTCGGCTGCTGGTGTCTGGCGCACCGTCAAGTGGCTGGTGGCTGCCCTCTCGGTGGCCGCCGTCAAGTGGCCGGTGGCCGCTCTGCTGATGGCCGGTGGCCGCCCTCCCGGCGGCTGCCTTCAAGTGGCCGGTGGCCGCCCTGCGGATGGCCGGTAGCCGCCCTCCCGGCGGCTGCCTTCAAGTGGCCGGTGGCCGGTTGCCGCCCTCTCGGTGGTCGCCATCAAGTGGCCGCTGCCTGTGGCCGGTGGCCGCCTTCAAGTGGCCGAAGCCGGTGGCCGCCCTCTCGGTGGTCGCCATCAAGTGGCCGCTGCCTGTGGCCGGTGGCCGCCCTCCCGGCGGCCGCCTTCAAGTGGCCGAAGCCGGTGGCCGTCCTCTCGGTGGCCACCTCCGTGACCGCCGCCCGGCTCGTGACCGCGGCTGTCCGTGCGCCGCGCTGCGCCCCGCCGCCCGGCGCCGACCGTTCTCCCCGAGACTGTCGGTCGGTCGGGGCTGTCGGTGCGCCGGGCCACACCCCGTGCCGGCGCCCGCCGCTGCGGGCTGGAGACTGTTCCGGCCCGTCGGCCGGCGCTTGTCGGTGCCGCGGCACCCGTCGCTCGGCGCTGGCTGGCGCTGCCTGGTGACCACGTCGCGAACTAGTGCGGGTGGTGCCCTAACCGCCGCGTCGGTCTGGGCTCGTCGGCGCCCGCTGGTGCCCCGTCGGCTCGCTGCCGTCTCAGTGACGGACAGTAGTGACGTCACCGCTCGGTGATGTGCGCGCCGCAGTGACGTGGGGCGGGGAGTGTTGGGGTGGGAGTGATGGGACGGGGTGGGACGGGAGTGCTGTGGCGGACAGTGGCCACTCACTGGCCGTGACCGCCCGTGAACGGTGACTCACCGTGAGGGAGTCTGTCAGTGCTGGTTGGTGGCCGCAGTGACCGGCCTGGTTCGCCGACGCCCGTGTGTGGTCCGACCGCGTGTGGTGATGTCGGCCGGTCCCGCTGGTGACTCAGCTGGGCCGCTGTGAGATAGCCGGTCCCCCAGCGACCTCCGACTGTGCTGGCGATGACCCGTCGTCAGCCCCGCGTGCCTTAGGGCAGTGCCGTCGGTGACGGTACTCGTGGTGACCGTTGGTGACAGTGGTGTCGTTCACCAGACTGGTGACCCCTACCCCGTGCCGGCGGTCAGCTCGCCCGCCCCACACGGTGGTGGGACCGTCCGCCGCTCAGTGGTGTCGCTGGTGTCGCCACACCGAGTGTTTTTTATCGTGTAGTGTATGTATCGTGTATGTATCGTGTAGTGTATATGTGTACTGTTTATTTAAGTTGTGTATGTGCCGACTGGCCACGCTTCTCTTATGGTGGCCACTCGGAGCGTCAGTGGCTCAAGGCGATGATAACTGCTCGTCTCCCAGTGACGCTGTAGGTGTCACCACATCGATTGGTTGCACTGTGTAGTGTACCGAGTATTGTGTAGTGTACGCACTGTGTATGTGTGTAGTTAGGATGTGTATTGTGTAATTGTGTAGGTGTTTAGTCAGGCCGGCCCGCTCCGCTGGTGACTACCCGGAGCGCTGGTGCCTCAGTCCTCACTGTGGTGACCCGCACCAGTGGTGACCGCCGGTGGCTGGTGCCGCCGGCTGGTTCTGGTCCCGCGGCTCACCGGCGTCTCTCGGTGCCCGACCGTGGTCAGTCTGGACTGTTTGGATATGTTGAGGTTTAGGTCATGTTAAGACGGGGCCATGTGACCTGTCGGCACCTCTGACCGGCCCCAGTGGCACAATTTAGCTATTAATATATGTAGACCCAAGTGCGACTCATGGTCACGGCCGTCCGCTCCACGGACAACCACTGCTTTGAGTATATAGCAGTGATTCTTGATTGGCCTGAATGGCACTAGTGTGCAGTTTTACTGTGTGTAGTGTTAGGTAGGCGTAGATATGTGTGACATGCGTTTAGATGTAACGATAGACGCAGCTGTAGCGTCTGCTGTCGCTACCGATACACTCGGCTCCACGTGACCACTGTTGGTGAATTGTATGTCACGGTCCGTGCTAGCTGCCGCCACTGATCTGCCCTGGAGCTACGCTGGCTGAGCTGTTTGGGTAGGTGGACGTCCCAGTTCAGGACGGACCAAGTAGAGTGTTGAACATGTCATTGTGTGTGTGTATAGGACACCGATTGTGTCAATTACATGTGTTGTCACCGGTGCCCAACTCTTGATGAGGCACAGTTAGGGGTAGTCCTCTGTTGTTTGTGGCTCTTTTCGATAAGGCCTGCTGCCCTGTGCAGCCCCGATACCGTCCGTGGCCCTGTGTGCCACCGACAAAACATTGTGTGACCTCACACCGCTGGAACCGACTGGTCTGATGGCGATTTTCGCCTCTGATTGATTTGCTGGTGTTGCGCTGATGTGCTGTGTGTCTCGGTCGGCCCGCACTCCGGGCTCGTCTGGCCCCCCTCTACCCCCCCCCCTTCCCCGGCACCCTCTGTCCCCTGTGGCCCCGGGGTCGTGGCCGGCCGCTGTCGGTCGACCCTCCCCGGTGCCGCACGGGGTCACGGTGCCCTCCCTGCTCCGAGGCGGTGGTGTGGGGTCGGCGCCCTCCGGTGGGTCTCGGCCGGTGTGGGTCGGGAGAGGGACCCCTGACCCTCCCCCTCCCCTGCTCTGGGTGCGGTGGCACGCGGCTTGTGGTGCTGGAGTGTGGTCTGGGCGGCTTGGTTGGCGGTGGCCTCCAGCGCCCTCCCACGTCCCCGCTTGGTGCGCTGGTGAGCGCTACGCTTTTGGTGCTGGTGATGGTGACCAATGCGTTGGAGCAGTCGGCTGGCCGGGGTGGCAGCGCTGCGGGGTGGCCCGGACCGCTGGTCGGGCCAGGTCAGGTCGGCCTACAGTAGTCCCGGGGCACACGCGCGGCCCGGGAGCTGCCGAGTAGCAGCTGTGATGGTCCTAGTTATCGAGCTTACCCGACCCCCCCCCCCTCCCTGGCCCGCCCCGCACCAAATGCCTGTTATCACCATGTACTTTTCTGAATAAAAAATCTGTTCTTATCAGCTTAATATCTGATACGTCCCCTACATGGGGACCAGAATATTAAACTGATTTTTGGACTTTGGCGGGGTTTTTGGAGCTTGCTCCAGCCCTGCCGCGGGTTGGCCTGGCATTGCACTACAGCCAGGATCGGCCCACTTTTGTTATCATGCGTTGTGATATGTGGTGAAAATAAAAGGATAAAGATACTTTTAAGATATATGACAATAAAAATTGACAAAACATGAAAATACGCCTCTTTTTGATCATGGTCATAGACAAACGCTCATACTAAATGGAATAAAAATGCGGGTATCGGCAAATTGTACCTGTGACCCCTCAATGTCCCTGAGGTCATCTCAGGTCATGAAGAAAAATGACCCAATCAATATCATTATGATTATAGACGTTTTTTTTTCTCGAATTCCACTACTACGTGCCGCCCCCGACCCGAGCCACGATAACCGCTACAATAGGCGAATTAATTCACGCATTTATTTTGTTCCCAGACAATCGACATCTTTCAAGTACACGGTGCATCGGCGTCCTAAAATGTGACTGGAAAGGCCGCTCTATCTGGTGAAACTCAGTAAAGACGGTGCATCATCATCTAACTGAGGTACCTGTAAAGCTGACATCTTTATCACTATTCATTCGGTATCAGTGATGGACAGTGGGGGGCGTGTGGGAAGTTGTGGGTGACGACAGCTTTGCCTTACGTAAAGCATCATATGCTTTTAAAACTTTTCTCTTTTTATTAGTTTTGCTATAGCGTGAGGCGTGCAATCGTATATCGAAATGAAAAAAGTAACTGGAAAAATAGCAGTATCTATCGACATTCCTTACATCTGTGCTTTGGTAAGGTCCTGACAAATGCTTTATTTATTCATATTAGCCGTTTTCACGACGGCCATCTGGTACACATTTGATGCACAGGTGGTACAGATAAAGTGCAGAATTGGTCAAATCAGGTTCAGTGTGTCCTCTTAGCAGCTATCAGCTAGCACTTATATGCACTAATTTCTTATATGCCTGATTTGTCATATTTTCAGAGAGCATCATCGATTAAAACACTGTAATAAATTCATAAAATGAAGCTATTTGCTGTAAAAGAAAGTACGTGCAGATTTGATCACATCAGGTGCATTCGCCGGATAGACCGTCGTGAAAACGGCCATTAACTACTATCAAGATACATTTTTGTCGATACGTGCCTTATTCGTTACGTACATGATTAATCAGTACTTTTGCTGACGTACATGTGCAATACGTACTTTTGCGATGCATGCTTTTGTCTGCATGCAGCTAGGGGGGGGGGGGTAGAGCTAGGGGGGGGGGGGGGGTAGAGCGCTGCCATACGTCGTGGTGTTCGACTGTGCTGCCATCTGATGTCGCACCACTGATAACTGTCGGCGCGGCGCCGCCGTCTCCATTTGCGTGTGTACAAACGCACGGTCGAGAGCCACTAATTCGAAATTATTTCGAGTTTGGCGATCTTTTGTGCTTACAGATACTTACCATGGTGAGGATAAACTGAAACTGCGTATACTTTGAATGTAACATAATGGACCACTCTTATCACTCGCCGTGGCCACTAGCGCTCACGCTATAGCTCTGCATCGTTACTAGTACTAATAGTTATCCCTTAACTGCATAAGTATCTAAAAGTGTTGTGCTTAAGTATCGCTTCTCGGCCTTTTGGCTAAGATCAAAGTGTAGTATCTGTTCTTATCAGCTTAATATCTGATACGTCCCCTACATGGGGACCAGAATATTAAACTGATTTTTGGACTTTGGCGGGGTTTTTGGAGCTTGCTCCAGCCCTGCCGCGGGTTGGCCTGGCATTGCACTACAGCCAGGATCGGCCCACTTTTGTTATCATGCGTTGTGATATGTGGTGAAAATAAAAGGATAAAGATACTTTTAAGATATATGACAATAAAAATTGACAAAACATGAAAATACGCCTCTTTTTGATCATGGTCATAGACAAACGCTCATACTAAATGGAATAAAAATGCGGGTATCGGCAAATTGTACCTGTGACCCCTCAATGTCCCTGAGGTCATCTCAGGTCATGAAGAAAAATGACCCAATCAATATCATTATGATTATAGACGTTTTTTTTTCTCGAATTCCACTACTACGTGCCGCCC